TCTTTCCCTGGAAGAGCCAATGGCCCAGGGCCTGCCTTGGCCTCTACAGGGGTCTTATCAGCTCTCCCACTGCTCACCCCAGGATCACCAGCACGCAACCACGGACTCGTGTGAGCCCCACAACCTGGAAGGAAGCTGGGCAAAGTATCATTCTTCCCACTACACACATGAGGAAACAGGAGATTTGCCCCACGTCACATGCTTCATACATGTCAGAGCCCAAAGCCCCATCTGCAGGCTCCCAGTCCAGCTCTCATTCCTTGAAACTCACTCCTCACCTCCTTTGGCCAAGAAGGAAGGCTTCCTGGAGGAGGGGGCATTTGGGGACAGAGATGCCTTAGCAGGCTAGCTGTGTGTGTGTCCCAGCTTCTGCTTAGCGGCTGGCTTGCCCTTTACTGGGAGATCTCAGAGCTGGAGGGTATTGTAAAGACCACCAGCTCTGGATCAGTGCCACAGGGAGGCCAGGCTGGTCAGCGAGACCCAGCAGGGCAGACGCTGTCAGTTCCGCCTCCCTCTCCTCCTGCTGGTGCCTGGGGCTGCACCAGTTCTGATGCATCGGGAAGATAAGACTCCGAGACTTGGGGACTGACCATCCCTGGTCTCCCTGAGGCTGGCTCCCTGGCGGGCGGCGCGCGTGGAACCGGCAGCCGGATGCGCACTTAAAGGGAGCCAGGTGGTGCCTCGCTTGCTCCAAAACTCCACTGCTAGTTCCCTGTCCACTGCTCCCTTCCGAGGAAAGCCGAGCTTCCCCCGCCTGGCTCCACACCCAGCCCCTCCAGCCCAAAGTCCAGACCAGCCTGCGAGGAGACCGCCTCCGACGTCTTGGCTTTTTCAGAGCCGGAGGCACTGCAGGGTGTGCAGAATGGAACCCAGGCTCTCCTTTCGGGAGGGGTGGGCTCTGCCCCGGGGGTGCCTGCAGTTTTGCGCGCGGCGCAGAGGAAGCGCGCCCCGCGCTCTCCCGGGGTCTCGGGGCGGCGGGCCGGAGCGCAGAGCCGGGAGGGCTCTCCAGACCCCAGACGCGCGCCGGCTCCCACCTGCCCGCCGGCCTCCCGTCTGGGATTCTCGGGGCCGAGCCGGTTGGCG